GATGAGGTCGAGCTTCCTGCCGGTGCAGGGCAGGCCGCGCTTCTTCATCTCCTGCCTCAGCTCGACCACGGTCATCTTCTCCAGGTCCATCTCGTTTTGGTCTTCGTCGTCGGCCTCCTCCTCCTCCGCCTCTTCCGCCTCAGCCCGATCCACTTCTTCTGCAGACTTCTGGACGGCATTGTTCGCTTCGAATGTTGCCTCCTCCAACGAAGCCTCCTTGACCGAACTGGGTCCTTCATCCGCTGCCTCCTCGTCTTCACCATCCGCGCTGGCCTGCACGTGATCGCTCACATCCTCGGCCGGCGGCTCTGCGACGAAGACCTCAGTCACCACCGCTTCTTCGACAGCTGCGGGCTCGGCCACCTCCTCTTCCTGCGCCAGGTAGTCACGGAGTCGTCTGACCAGCTCGAACTTCCTCCCGTTGGTCGGCAGATGGCACTTCCTGAGGGATTCGGGGTCGATCTTTTCTTCTTCTTCTTCTTCTTCTTCGTCGGCTGCCACCTCATCGCTCTCCTCCTCTTCTTCTCTCACTTCTCCGCTCGCTTCCTTCGCGCCCATGTCCGCACCGTCCTCCGTCTCTTCTTCGATCGTTCGTTCAACTCGTCCCTCCGCCGTTTCTTCTTCGTCCTCGCCCGCAGTCTCTACCGTCGGTTGCTGCTCTTCGGTGTTGTGTCCTTCCTCTACGGTGGTTTCTCCGATTGATTCGACGGGTTCAGCGGCCGATGCCTCGTCGGTGATCTCGCTCTTCGCGTCCACGTGATGCGCGTGGTCTTGCTCTCGTCGGTCGAACTCGCGAAGCCTCTCGATCAGTTCGTGCTTTCTTCCGTTCGTCGGGAGGTCGCGCTTCCGTAGCTCTTGCTTCAGTTCGACGACCTTCATGGCATCGAAGTCTGCCTCCTCGTCCGCGTCGCTGTCGCGTTCACTTTCGATTTGCGCTTCTCCCTGCTCTTCCTCAGGCCTTCGCTCTTCGACGTCAGCTTCCACAACCTCCGCCGTCGCTTCACCAGAAGGCGCTTCCGGTGGTACCGACCCGCATTCTTCCCGCAAGGTTTCCTCTGGCGCCGCAAGGGTAGCCTCCTGGTGCAGTTCGCCTTCCAAGACGGTACGCAGTCGGTGAACGAGGTCGGTCTTCCTTCCACCAGTCGATACGTTTCTCTTCTTCAGCTCTCGCCTCAGCTCATCGACCTTCATCTCTTCCGGCTTGAGGTCGTCTCCATCGTTCTCACCCTGTTTCGCTGCATCTTCGACTGATTCCCCCGTCGCCTGCACCAGCGCTTCTTCGGTTTCGACCGGGCTGCTGTCCTCCGATCGCTCCTCCTGCACCGGCACCGCTTCGCACGCAGGCTCGAGTTCAGGTTCGGCAGATTCGTCTGTCTCGCTGTCGGAGTCGCTCTGGTCGGGCTTGCACACAAGAGCTGCCCGTAGCCTGTCGACGAGCTCGGACTTGCGGCCCTGCGCCGGCAATCTCCTCCTCTTCAGTTCGGCCCTCAGCTCGGCGACCTTCATCTTCGCGAAGTCAGCTTCGGCTTGGGCCTCTTCTTCGTCGGTGCCCTCGGCTTCGTCGTCGCTGTTGCTGCTGCAGTCTTCCGCCACGGGCGGGATGCGAAGCGTAGATTGCTGCGTGAAGTCTTCCACCTGCTCGAGTACGGGCTTAGCTTCGACAGTGACGTTGACCGTTCGTTCATTTTCCTCGACCTCGACCTCGTCCGCGCTCGCGTGGGCTTCCTCCTTCGCTTCTTCCTCCTTCTCGCTTTCGCTCTCGCTCTCACCTTCGAGGCTCGACTCTTCAGCAGAGCCCTCGACGATGACTCGCTCCAGCCTCTCGACCAGAACCTGCTTCTTCCCTCGCGTATCCAAGCCTCTCCTCTTCAACTCTCGTCGGAGCTCATGGATGGTCATGCCCGCCACCTCCGTGCTCTCCTCCTCCGCTTCGCTTCTAAGGGCCTCGTTGGCGTCTTGCTCCTCTTCTCTCGTACTCTTGCTGTCACTCGCGCCGGCCTCTTCGGCCGACTCGAGGGCGAGAGCACTCACGCCGCTCGTCTCCACTTCGTCCTCGACAGAGACGATCTCCTGACGCGCTTCAGTGTCCAAGACCGAGCGCAGACGATCTATCAGTTCGGTTTTCTTCCCCTTCGTGGTAAGGCCTCGTTGTTTCAGCTCCCGCCGCAGCATGTCCACCGTCATCGACTCGGCCGACACGCTGCGTGCCCGTGTGCCGGCTTCGGCCTCGACTCGTTCCGGGGCCGTGGCAGACACTTCGACGACCTCGTGGGCCTCTTCTTCGCTCTCGCCCGCCAGCAGGATCGTGGCCGTCACATCGTTGTCCTCCGCCTCCATAGCTTGTTTCGATGTAGTTTCGTCGTCGTTGACTTCGTCGACTTCGACCAGGATCGTGGCAGAGACTTCGAGGGCCTCTTCATTCTCGTCCTCGGTCGCGGTCGAGACGGAGCTGATGTTGAACATCGGCGTGAAGTCCGAGGTGTACGAATACACGCTCTGCTCGCTCTTACGTGCCTTAGCGATGAAGCTCGGCTCCGTGAAGCTTGCAGAGATGTTGACGACATTCTCCTTCCACTTCTCTCCTTCCTCCAGATCCTGCTCGAGGCCCGAGTCCTCCAGCGCGAGAGTGATGGAGCCCTTGTTGCACACGAGTTTGCGCTCCACTGTCTGGTTCTGTGGCAGCACTTCCGCGTCGTCGTCGTCGTCGCTACCATCAGACGAATCACTCGGCTCGTCTTCGTGCTGCAGGTCGCTACCCGTGAGTACGGTGCGGACCAACTCGGTCACCTCCTCGACCTCACCGTCCGCTTCGCTCTTGCTCGCGGCCGACTCCGTGCAGGCAATCTCTGCCTTCGAGAACTTGTCCGGAATTTCGATTGCCGACAGCTCGAGGGTTTCGTCCTCGTCGTTCGTGCTCGCATCAGGAACACTGACGCCTGCGCTCACACAAAAAAGAGTTCATACTGTACATCAGCGACTAGCGGCTAAACTCACAAGAGGCAATGCCGCCGCACCTGAGATGGAGACTCGCGAGGGAGAGTCAAGCAGTCCGTGTCTCGCCAAGGCACCCAGCAGGGCTGTTTCAGCTAACAGATGAAGTTTGAGATTATGAAGAGCAGTAAAACGAGAGAAACGCGGAATACTCACCTCCGGAAGAGGACTGGCGGGTGGCGTCGAGCAGTCCGTGCTGGTCCAGTGCATCGAGAAGAGCAGCGTCAGGGTACGTTCCGGTAATCACTCCAGTGTCATCTCCGTCGGTATCGTCTGCACATGAGGAGGTTTTAGTCAACACTCAGTATCATTCGATGCCCGCTACAGAAAATTACGCGGATATGTACCTTTGGAGCTCGAGCGGATGCTCGTATCTAGTGCGCCAAGTCTCTGGAGCGCGGCAAGAACTGCGAACTCGGGCAGGGTTTCAGTCATGGCCGTTTCGTCTGTACATGCCGACTGTCTGCGAAGCGGCGAGGCAAGCAGACCCTGGCGCTGTAGTGCGTTGAGGGTGACGACGTCGGGCAGAGTCTGCGTTACAGCCATGGTGTCATCGGACGCTGGAGTCCAAAGACAAAGTTAGCAACACAAAGCTGTGTGTTCGTCTTTTCTTGAGTGCACGTACCGGTAGATTGCCTCGATGATGCGTCCAGGAAGCCCTGCCGCTGAAGAGCGGTTAAGAGAGCAGCCTCGGGCAATGTCTCCGTGACACTCACCGTATCGTCTGAGTCTTGAGAGATGATGAGCAACAAAAAGCGCGTGTGGAACAGTGGGCGAAACACACCTTGAGTGGAATGGCGTGGCGATGAGACATCAAACAGACCCTGCTGCTGCAGAGCGGAGAGGAGGGCCGCGTTGCGTAGAGTCTCGGTAACTGCGATTGTGTCTTCGTCGTCGTGCACTGGAGGATGAGATCTGCCGGCAGGAGTGTCCAGGAGGCCTCGCTGCTGCAGGACACGGAGCAGCGCTGCTTCGGGGATTGTCTCCGTAACGGCAATAGTGTCGTCGGTCTCTGCTACCCAGTATGGTGGTGAGCACAGCTTCAATGCCGCATATCAACTAAAAACAGTGCCTACCGGTAATTCGCTCAACAGTAGTAGAGGCATCAAGGAGGCCCTTATTCTGTAGAGCATTGAGCAAGGCAGCTTCGGGCAGCGTGCCGGTGAGGGTAACCGTATCCTCCTTCTCACCTGTGATAGAGATTAGGACAAGGCTTAAGCACGAAGTGACAAAGTGTGGCATATGTACTGGTGTCGAGCATCCCATGTTTAAGCAGCTTGCTTAGAATGGACATCTCCGGACCGCTGGGAGTGCTAATAATGGTGTCCGTCCGATCTTCTGACGAATCTGTTGTAGAAGAACAGATGAGTTGGCAGGGGAGCGAGGGCTGCTGGGACGAGGTCAGACTTACCGGTGGTGTCGAGCAAGCCCTGCTTGATTAGCTTGTTCAGGAGGGACGCCTCTGGTGGTGTGTACGCGACGGTATCTGTTCTGTCATCGAACGGCGTGGTCGAGGACTGAGCGGAGGCATCCAACAGGCCCAGTCGGTCGAGAGCGCCAAGGACTGCCGAGTCGGGAGAGCCACGCAAGGTTACGGTGGGGTCATCCAGTATCGACTTACTTCGATCGAGCAGGCCTTGTTTCTGCAGGGCAGCCAAAAGGGCAAACTCGGGCGTTGCCGACGTGATTGTGAGGGTGTCGTCGTCTGCGCGGGAGCGAAGATTAGATTGTAGTGCTACAACGGTTAGAGATGGCGGGCTAACCTCGATCACAAGTAAAATCTTCGTTGGTCCTGGACGACAAGGCCGTCTTGAGGATGTCACCCATTAGAGTAATCGTGTCATCATCGCTCCTAAGATCAGATCTTCAATTAATCGAAGCTATTCGTCCCCGTTTAGAGGCTGTACGTACCTTTGAGTAAATTTCTTTGATGATTTTCGGCTCCTGTTCATGCAAAGAGTACATCAGCGTAAGTTGATGTTTGCAACGACAAAAATGGCAAGGTACGCACCCATCGTAATCGTCATCCTTCAAGTACTTGAAGGCGTTTGGATTGATGTTCTCCTTGTTAAATGCTGCTGGCGAAAAGGGCACCGCGGTCCTGCCTTGCCCCTCCATCACCTGCTGGGCTTTCAGGTTCCTGAATGGTTTGTGTTGTTGTGTTCTTGATTGATTGCGCAGCGTTGGCGCCACATCTTTTGGCGCGAAGAGCAT